GGGAGCCGCGCGCCCCTCCCCGGGCGCCCCCCGCTGCCCCCCGCCTCGCTCACCAGGCCGCGCGCTGACCCCCTGACCCGGCAGGCGGTGTTGCCATAGCAACACCGTGACGGTCCCGGCCGTGGCGGACGCGGCGTCCGCGTCACCGTCGCATCATCGCCGAGCACGGTGACCTCACGCGATGACGTCACACGCCCACCGCTCGGCGCAGGGGCGAGGCCACTCTCTGCCTTTCGCCTTCCACGCTCTTTTTTTCCTTAATGAGCTGAAGGACCCGGATGAACGAACCGGAAATGGCCGCCCTCCTAACCCCGCCCCTTCGCCTACACGTACTTCCGCTCCCTTTTTCTTTACCTGCGGGACCGTCTTCCCCTTCCCGGCACACATTTCCCTGCCTGACAGAGGTGGACGGAAGCATTCTTCCCGCACGGCATCACGGGAAACCGAGTTCCTGTCGCCCACAGAGCCGGAACTCGGCGACGCTCCGTTTCCCCGGGAGCGAAATCTCGCGATGGTCACGAGGCTTCGCTCCCGCGAGATGCACTTTCGTCGCCGAGCTCCATGGGAGATGCAGTTCCGCGCTCGTGCCCTCCGGGCGGTCGGGACTCCGAATCCCAGCCTCCCCGGCCAGCGGTCTTGCTGGCTGGGGCGGATAGGGCTTGGGATCCCGACCCGACCCTCTGCGGCGCCAGGCCGGGCCGTGCGGCCGAGGAATCGCCCGAGTGCGTGGCCCGGCGCCGCTGCCGGGGATGCTGGGCACTGTAGTCCACGCATCGGCGGGGCGCCCGCGCAGCCCGCGGGGGCGAGCGCCGAGCAGGGGTCCGGCCGGTCCCTGGGCCGAGCGCGGCGGGGCTTTGTGCATCGGACGCGGGGCGCCCTCGGGGCGGCGGGCGAGGAAGAGGAGGAGGAGGAAGGCGCGGGGGGGGGCAGCGGCGCGTCCCGTCCCGTCCCGTCCGCGGCGTCCGCTCGCGCCCCTTGCCGCTGCTCGGAGGGGCGGCTGAGGACGGACGACTCGCCCTCGTGGCGCCCCGGTCCTCCAGGCCCCCCTTCCTTCTCGGCTCTTCATGTTGCAGGGATGGCCTGGACGAGGGCCAGTAAATGAAGCTCCGTCCAGACAAGGCGGAGGTCCTGTCGGTGGGTGGCTCGGGCCTCGGGGTGGGGGACTTGGGCCTTGCCCCGAATGGGGGTGCACTCCCTCTGAGGGACAGGGTCCGCAGCTGGGGGGTGCTCCTCAACCCGGAGCTGTCCCTGGAAGCTCAGGTGACGGCGCTGGCGAGGAGCGCCTTCCTTCAGCTTCGGCTGATCTGTCAGTTGCATCCCTACTCGGAGAACAACTGCCTGGCGACAGTGACACACGCGTTGGTGACTTCCCGACTTGACTTCTGTAACACGCTCTACGTGGGGCTGCCCTTGAAGATGGTCCGGATACTTCAGTTGGTGCAGAATAGAGCTGCCAGGCTGCTGACGGGGACTGGGCGTTATTCTCATATAACCCCAGTTCTCCTTCAGCTCCACTGGCTTCCCATTGAAGTCTGGGCCCAATTCCAGGTGTTGGTGATGACCTATAAGGCCCTCAACGGCTTGGGTCCTGGCTACCTGAAGGAGCGCTTACGTCCATATATGCCCAGCCGCCCCTTGAGATCAGCGGCAGAGGCCCTTCTCCGGGAACCCTCCGTGAAGGACATTAGGAGGGCGAGCACCCGGAGGAGGGCCTTCTCTGCGGTGGCGCCCAGTCTATGGAATGCACTCCCCAGAGAGGTCTGCCTGGTGCCGTCATTATTTGTTTTTTGGCGCCAGACAAAGACCTTTTTATTAAAAACTTATTTTAATTGTTAATTTATTGTTATTTATAGGATTTTAAATCTTTTAAGCCGAGATGCACCGGGTTTTAATATTTTTGTTGTATAATTGTTATATTTGTTCATTTTTTTGTTGTGAGCCACCCCGAGGCTTTGTTGCAATGGGGGCGGCATAAAAATGTGTTAAATAAATAAATAAGTAAATGCCCCCCCCCCTTTTCCCACGTGAAACAGGCTGGCCCACACAATCATGGCTGAGCGGGGACCGGAGCCTGCTCTCCTCCCACGTCTGCCTCGTTCTTAGGCTGTGCCATAAAAAAGGCAGAGCTCCTTCCATCCATCCGGCAGCCCCCAAGAGCGGTGCTTACTCTGCAAATTCCATCATCCCCAGCCAACAGGGCCAGTGGGAAGAGCAGTGTCGCCTGTGCGCCCCTCCATGGGTGTCGGTGAAGCTGGAAGTCACACGTCCTCCAAACCCGGCCAGGTCATGATCCCAGCTGCCACGTGCTGGACCAGCTGGCAGTCTGAAAGCTCACCTGCGTGGTGCTTGCTACTGCCGTCCATGCAGGTGCTCCCAAGCCCTGCCTCTCCGTTCTCCTCTCGCCTCTCTCCTGACCAGACAAGTTCAGATTCCCGCCCCCCACCCCCCGTTTTACCCGTGCGGTGAGCAGTGTGCCAGGTCAGGTGGGAAGGGCTCTGTGAACTGACTAAGCTCCCTCCTCTGCTGCAAAATATTCGCGCTGAAGACGGAGCCGGCCTCATTTCCTCCACAGCGGTTTTTCTCGGTTTGCCCCCACTCCGCTGGAGTTCAGTGCAGAGCCCTCTCTATGTACGCACGGCTGGAAAGACCCCTGGATTTACTGGCACCTCTGCCAGGCCCCACGGCACATCCAGAGGGAGCCAGCCGGACCTCCCTGCCCCGGCGAGGGGCTGGCGGCCGAGGGTGGGGGCAGCGCCGCCCGTCCTCTGTTGTTCTGCACAGCAGGCCGATCTCGGTGCCCTTTGCTCGCCCCTCTCTTTCATCTCCTGGGCACGAATCAACAAACAACCCCGGCGGAGGGCGGGAGAGGCGCCCCGTCTGGGCCGTTCCGGGCAGGGGGGTGGCCAGTTAATGACCGACCAAGATCAACAGAGCCGGAGGCAGTTGGCAAGTGCGCAGCCCGGGAAGCAGACCGCTCCAGCGGCACAGCGATGAGGAGGCTGGCGGCGCTGTGCGTGGGCCTCCTGGCCCTGTCGAGCGCGAGCCGGCCGGCCACTCAGCAGCGCGCTCTGGACGTCGTGCTGGACTACTTCCACCGAAACGGCCTCGTGCAGTCCGTGTTCAAGGAGCAAGCGGTGCTTAACGTCTCCGAAGAGGTGGGTGAGCCCCGCGCGAGGAGCGGCGTGTGGGGAGGGGGTGGCGGGGAGCCCCACCTGCCTTTGCCCAGGCAAGGGCATGAATCCACCATGCTGTGAAGACTAGCCTAAGGGAGAGCGACTCCACGGCACCTCACTTCCAATTAAGATATCCGGGAAGAATCAAGAGCACTTCTATGAAAGACATCGCAGTTTGTGTGATAGCTACGGTAATGAAATAAGGAGGCAGCTTCTCGGTAAACAAGCCAAACACAGCTTAAACTTGCCTTCTCTCTGGCCGTATTTATTTGGTTCCCTGGATATGCCAGGGGCTACTTCGTGGGTCTCCAAAGTTCTGTGGACAGTTCCTTTCCCCCTTCTTTCTCCTTTTTGGCTTCAGAGACTATATGCAGTAAACTCAGACTGACCCTCTTCCAGAGAGAGGGAGGTGCAAAGCTGCTTCAGTAAATAGTTTCGGTTCTTACAGCAAAGGCAACCCTTATCTAAGGAATATAATTGGGGGATTATCTCTGGTGCTTTCCCTAACACACTGAAGTTTATAAAGCCTTGGCATGACTCCAAGAAACCGCCTGGCCTTTGAACCCTGTGAAAGTTTGCTATTCTACCTGTTGAATGTTAGTAAGTTCCTAACCATTCTTCAGGTAGAGACCATCTCATATGAAGCCACAGAAAAAGAGGTTCAGCTCGAATAGAAACTATAGGTCGGGAAAATTGGAACAGGCCCAGGAAATGGTGCGGCAGTGCTAAGAAAGCTATCGGAGGAGCTGAAGGACAGACCTGAGTTTGCCCATACGTGGGCTTGCGAAGGGTCTGTGATCCTGGAAGACGGGGCTCTGCCAATGCCTGTGTGCATTCCTATCATACGGGATGAAAGGGGAAGTCACTTTCTGCTTGGGGCTCCACTTCACCCACTCTGTGCACGGAGACCGTTTCTCCACCTCGCGCCCCTGGAGTGCTTGCTTGGCCGTTGCGCAGGCCAGGGTCGAATCCCGCTTTTATGGACGACCAAGCCTTCCTTCAGAACATGGAAGTCTTGCCCTAGCAGGTTAAAGAAAGGGGGCCGGGGCCGTGCGCAAACAACATACCGCAGGCAAGAGCAGTTTGTTGTGATGTGCCGTCACGTTGCCTTGGACTTGCGCAGCCCCGTGAGTGAGAGCCTTCCAAGCTGTCCTGCCCTCGCCAGCGCTGCCTGGCCTCTGCCAATACAGGCAAACAGCAGGGGTGCAAAAGAAGAAGAAGAAAGGGACGCAGAGGAATGCCTCGCTAACAGTGATAAACAAAATACTTAAGCACATTAGGAACTGGCCAGTTCCTGTGTTGAATCCGACGCAACAGGAAGGCCCCCAGCCGGTGCTAAAAGCGAAAGGCGGTGGGGGCAGCTGAAGGCAAGGCATACGCAGGGAGGACAAGACGAGGCGAATGGGATTCCTTCTTTCTGCCTCCGGCCCGCTCCAACATTTTAAGGAAGGGAGCTGAGGCGAACAACAGACGCTGCTCCACAGGTTATCGATGAACGGGGCGCCTCCAAATCACGGGGCCGAGGTGATGCCCGCTCGGGGGTTTGTAGGACCTCAGAAGGGACATCGCCGATAGGTCTGACTTCCGCCCGTAGCACGGCTGGCATTGCCCTCTGCGGCCAAGGACTGGCGCTTTCGCAGAGGAGCCCGTGGGGGCGGGGGCTGCAGGCCAGAGGGACGACCGTCTTGTTCAAGAGCCGTGGGTTGAATTGTCGGGCATATAAAAGGACAGACCCTAATAGAACAGAATCGATAGGCTTCTACAAAGGTAGCTTCCCTCTCCCTGTTATTCAGGGAGGCTACGCCAAAAGGGGGCGGTGGTGAACTCTCCCGCCTGGGGGAGTGTGCGTCCCAGTGGCAAATGGAAGGCAGAGTCGCTTCTGTGCAACGATGGAGCCCCCTGGGAGAAAGCCCCCTAAGGTCGCGCGCAGGCTGAGGGGCCGCGGCTGGCGCCGACTGGCCAAGAGCGCGCTCCCAGGGCGGAAAGGGCAGCCCAGTTGGTGGCTGGTGTGAACACGGCAACTCCTACGACGGGGATTGCTGGAAAAGAACTCGGAGATCGAGGCACCACGACCACGCAGCTCCTGTGCAGCTCGGAGCCGCAGGCGTGTTGTCTGCAGAGCTGGAAGGGGCAGCGGAAGGCAGTCCGGGGGGCTCCCACGAGGCCCCTGGCGGCTGCGGAGGGGGCATGGAAGGAGACATTGCGCAGGTGCCCAACATTACGGACGGCATCAAGAATAGGGGTAAGGAGAGGCTTTTCTTGCTTTCCTCTTTCCTAATACAAGGAGCCCGGGTCATCTCACGGGGTCAAGGGCATCTTCACGGAGCGCGCAGTTAATCTCTGGAATCCGCTTGGCTGAGGGCGGGTCGCAGCCTCCGATTCGGGTGGCTTGAAAGGGGCTGGGTCGGTTCCAGCAGCTGCTAGTCCTTTCCTCAGGACGCCTCCAGGATTGCCTGCCCATGCTTGCCAGCTGCTGGGGAACATGGGCGGGGGGGGGTGCTATTGCACGTCTGTCCTGCACGCGAGTTTCCTGCTGGGGTTTGGCTGGGACAAGATGTTGGACCCGCTGGGCCTTTGGAAGGATCCCATGCGGCTCTTCTAATGCGCCATTTTCCTCTGGGATTAGTCCTGGCTCTCTGATGTCCTTGCTGAGTGAGCCAGGTCAGAATCCAGGCAAAGCAGCCAGAGTGAGACTCTTCAGTGATACAAATCCAAGTCTACTTCGGAACGGGGCACCCAGGGGCAGCCATAATAGGGCGATTCCACACCGGCCCTTCTCTCTGGAGTGGGCACCGCTCAGGCTCTTGCGCTTTTAAAAGGGGATCCGGATGACAGCCTTACAACCTGGTTCCACTCCGGTGTTCCCACGTTTGCGGAGATTGTCTGGCTCTTAGCCGACCCGCAGTACCAACTTCCCCAGCCTGGTGCCTCCTCCGGAGGTCAGCCTTTGCCTCCCATCACATTTCCAGGGCTGGGGAAGGCCGGGCTACGCGGTCTCCGTGCAGGCAGTTCACAGACTAGTAGAGTCGGAAGGGGCCATGAAGGCCGTCGAGTCCAACCCCCCCCCCCCGCTTCATGCATCGGCGAAGCTGCATTACGCACTTCTGGAATTCTGCAAGTGCTTCTCCCCCTCGCTAAAAAGGCTCTGGATTCTCTGCATATCCAAGTATCTGCTGTCCTTTTGAATAGCCGAAGGTTTGCCACACACGCACTTGGGTGTTCATGCGCTGTTCTGACGCTGGTAATAATCGAGTGAAAACGTAGTCGAGCAAACAGGGCTTGTTTCCCCTTCCAGCTGCTGCCCACGGGCCAGGCACAGGGGCTCCTGGAAGCCCAGATTGGTTGGGGGTGAGGGCAGAGGCTGGCCGGGCAGGAAGACTCTGTGGCAAAGGCTTTTGCAGGCGAAGCAGGGGGGGAGCCGCTGAGTGCCAGAATGCTCGGCAGAAAGGTGGGGCAAAATGGGCCCATCAGTCCATCTCAGTTAGCGATTGCCTCCAGTGACCACAGAATCGTAGAACGGCAGAGTCGGGAAGGGCCGGAGGGCCGCCAGGTCCAAGACCCGGCTCAGAGCAGGGCTCCGAGCTACAGCATCCATGGCAGCGGCAGCCTGGCTGCCTCTGGGGGCCTCCAGTGTGGGACCGTCGGCCGCGCTCCAGCATCCTGGACAGGTCGCCCCCAACCCTGCCGCACGCGCTGCGGTCTGGCCTGGAGCGCTTGGTGCCTCCCCTGAGCTCAGCCTGCCCCGGGGACGGCCAGGCGTGAGCAGGGAGGGGGACCTGGCCACGTGCCCACGGTGCCTGCCCACAGCGACCTCCCGTGAGGCCGGGTGCCGGCTGCTGCGAGCAGCGCGCACGGGCCCAGCACCGCTGGAGGCAGAGGGTCCCGGGGCTGGCCCCTCGCACTCCGTGGGAGCCCTCCGTGGCCGTGGCGGGCCGTGCGTGGCCCCCCCCCCGCACTGACGCTGCTCCGCTCGGCCGCAGGTGCTGCACATGGGGACCTTCGTTCAACTGCGGGTGGAGCTCGCACAGACACACTGCAGGAAGCAGCAGCGGAGGACACACAACTGCCTCGTCAAGCCCGGCGGGGTAAGCCCACGCGCGTCGATGCGCCTCCTCCTCGGTAGTGCGGCGGATCCTTTCACGGTGTAACAAGCCTCCTTTGACGAGGCCGACCCATCCTCCTGCCATGCGCCGCCAGAGCGACACACAAACCCACAAACGCGGAGGAGCTGCACTCCGGGGGTCGTTGCAGCCCCAAAACTGAGGCGGTGGGGAGGGCTCCTCCCGCAGGGCCACCCACAGCCCCCCCCCCCAGGGACGCAACCACAGCGCCTGCAGGGCTGCCGGAGGAAGGCGGGCTGGCCTCGGGGACCGTGGTGGGGCTGGGACGAGGGGCCCCTCCACCCAGAGGCAGAGTGTCAGGGGAGGCCCCGAGGGCCACCCACCCGCCACAGCCTTTGGGCCACGCAGCCAGGCACTGCCGTTGCCTGCCCCCAGCTCCCCCCACCCCCACGGCGTGCCAGTTCCCTTGGCTGCCTTGCCACAGCAGGAGGGGCGACAATGGATTTTGCATCCCAGTTATAATCAGCGAGACTTTGGAGTCTTGACTGGGCCACTGTGGTCACGTGCCATTAAGGCATCTCCAACGTGGGGCACCCTCCGGACGGGCACCCCCCACAATGCCTGGACCCCCACCCAGCCCTCACTCAGCTCTCGTCCAGGCCTGCAGCTTCCCCCACGGGGCACGTCCACCTCCCGGCTGGCCTTCCTCTCCCTCTGCCTGCGACTTTCCCCAGCGCTGGTCTTCCGGGCATCTCGGCTTCCCGTGATGCGTCTGAAGTAGCACGGCCTCCGTTTTGCCACGCCGGCTTCTGGGGAAAGCTCCGGCTTGGTTTGATCCAGGCCAGTGGGCGATGAAGTCCTGCTCGCGGTTCAAGAAACCTCCTCACGGGGACGGAAACTGTTCTCCGAGAGCTGCCTTTCCTCCCTGGCACTGGGAACGGACACGCCTGCACATTCTGAGCCGGGGCTCCTCGTGCTGCCCGGGATCGGGAACCGATGCTCACATGCGGGTGGCTGCTCTCCGAGATCCCGGGGTCACAGTTTGGGCTCTCTTTGGGGCGCGGCTGCCGGGACGGTCGCAGGGAGCCCCTCGAAAGCTCCCACCCGATGGTGCCATGCGGGCACTGCTGGAGGTGCACTGCAGCGCCAGACGGGCAGCCAGGAGGGCGGTCTGCGCGCGAGGAGGAGCCCCTTTCGGCGAGGGGGGAGGCAGACCTGGGGACTGGCCCTCAAGGCCGGCAAGGAAGCATGAGGACGCCTACGCGCCCCTTCCCCGTCGGTTGTGACCCTCGCCGTCGGCATTTCGCTGCCCTTGAGCACCTGGGGGCAGCTCCCTTGGGGGAAGTCGCCAACGCTCTCTCGGTCTCTCTCCCGTCCAGAGGCGGCAGACATGCCTGGCCTGCATCAAGTTTGACGCCAGCAGCGCCGAAAACGTGCTGGACAGGTTGCTGCAGTGCCGCTCACCCGTGCATGCCCAATTCCAGGTGAGGAGTGCCCCTCCAGACCCTTCACCCGGCCCTCCCTGGGCAAGTCTGCCCCAGCCCCAGCCCCAGCCCCGCTTCCGAGGCCTGGGCCAGGGAGAGCCGGCGGCGGCCAGGCGGCCGGATTCTTTCTGGCGAGCGTCCCGGCACCGGCCCTGACCAACTCTGCGGCCGCGGTCACTGCACCCTGCGCCCAGCAGGCTCCCCCCCCCCCCCGCGTTCCTTTTATCTTTTCTAGTGGTTTAAGTAACTGTTTACAAAATCTGCTCGGCTGACACACTGCAAAGCAAAACAGGCATGTGTTTATTTCCGAGAAGGGCTCTGGGCCTCCGGGGGCACGCGGGCCAGGCAGCCCCACCCGCTTGTCCAGAACACGCCGGGCCCGACGGACCGGCTCGGCGCCTGCTCTCCAGAACATGGCTGAGCTGACTGCGCCGGTCCCTGCGAAGCGAAGCGAGCCTCCGTGACAGGCCGGGGCACCGTTCGGCCGGCTGCGGAGGGGCAATCCGCCCGGCAGCCCGTCCGTGGGAAGGCCCAGGCGCGCTCCCCGCATCCCCGAGGGCCGGGCTGGCCTGGGCCTCCGAGGCTCTGCGGCAGAGGCCGTGCGTGTGGCTGGCCCGGCGCGGACGCGAGGGATGCGCCGGCACTGCGCTGCCGGTAGCCACGGGTCACGTGCCGAGGGCGCCGCGTTGCAGGGGGAAAGGCGGGAGGCCCGAGTGGCCGGGGGCCGGGCTGCCACTCGCGCAGCGCACCGTCCCGCTCGCTGCATGGGCTAGCGCGGCTCCGCGCGGCTGAGGAGCGGGCCCGGGCTTCCCGAGGGCGGCTTGTGCCCCGCAGGCGCTGCCCTGCGCCCGGAGTGCCGCCCTCCACCACCTCCCGCTGGCGGTCTCTGCGCGGGCGCAGGGCAGGGCTGCTCGCCTGGCGGGAGGGCAGGACCCACACAGGGAAGGGGGCGAAGCCACGCTCGCACGCACGCCCCCCCGGGGCGTCAGGGCCCCCCGGGACTGGCACCGTGCCCTTGCTCTCCCCGCAGGAGATGAGCCGCAAGCACAGCCAGGAGTGCGAGAAGGTCAGGAATGCCCACGAAGACCGCTACCTGCCCGGCCGGTTCGCCTTCTCCGTGGGAGCCCCGAGCTAGCCCCCCCAGCGCCGGACCCAGCCTGGTAAGTGCCCGGCGGCCTGCGGGGAGCGTGCCCGGTGGGGCGGAGGCGGGCGCTGGGCTGCCCCGGGTGCCTGCAGGCCGCTAGCCTCCCGGGGCAAGCACAGGGGGCTGGCTGCCCCTCCAGCCCCGCCGAGTCCAGAAGCGGCCCCCACGTGAGGCCAGGCCTGAGTGGGCGCGAGGCAGAGGGCTTCACCGCCCCCCCCCCGCTCCGGCCCGCCTCCCCCGAGACGCGATCTGGGCAGCAGTGCAGGGGGTGATCTTTTTGGTGCGTGGAGAAAGCGGGCAGGGGGCGGCCAGGGAAAGCCCCCCAAGTCAAGGCTGCTGGAAGTTGTGTGATGAGCCCACCGTGGGGGGGGCAGGGACGGACGGACAGAAAGACAGACGGCTGCGGTTACGTTGGGCTCATGATGTTCCTGTTCGGGCAGCCCCCAAATCAAGCGGGTTGTTGCCCAGCTGGCAAAGACGGAAGCGGGAAGGCAACTTGGGCTGCGAGGCGATGCAGGGCACGTGTTAAGTGGGGGGCTCGCCCACACCCCGATCGGCGCGTGGCCACCATCTTGCTCGGCACGGGGCGCTGGCGAATCTGGAGCCCCCCAGGCCAAAACCTTCCCGCGCCTTCCCCAGCCACGGCACTCATTTTCTCTTCTTCTCCCCCCAGATGGGCCCTGGGCTGGAAGGACTGCCCCGACTAGGCCAGGAGGGGCCACCCCACCCCCAGCTTGGTCTCCGCACTGCAGGACTGGCACCTGCCTCCCCCCCCCCCCCCCCCCCCCCCCCCCCCCCCCGCCCCCCCCCCCCCCCCCCCCCCCCCCCCCCAAGCCCCGTTCTCGGGCCTCCCCTTGCTCCTCTCCTCCGAATAAAATTGTGTCTGGACTCCACTTCCACGCAACACGCGGCTTCCAAGAGGGGCTGCCAGGCTGAGGTGGCCGGGGATCATGGGAGCCACAGCCCTCCCCACCTGGAGGATGCGTGTGGCTGGCCGCGCGAGGCCTCTGTGCTCCAACCGCCCCAGGTGCCGAGGGAGGCGAAGGAAGCAGGCGTCCGAGAGATGGGACGGCCCACGTTGCCCGGTCGGGTCCGTCGGTGGCCCGCGTGACCTCGGCAGGGGGAGCGCCAGGCTCGGGCAGCACCCCGAGCGCCAGCCGCCAGTCCGACACGGGGCGTGTGCTGTCCTGTTTTACGCATGGCGCAAGGTCGCGGCCTCCTGCAACCCCGTTGTGCGCGCAGGTCCCTCGGCCCGCAGCATCTCCAGGCCTTCGAGCAGCAAAACGCGGCTGGAGAAAATCCCGAGGCGGCTGCTGGGGTCGCAAAGGCCTTGGCCTCCGGGGTCTGCCCTGTACCCCCCCACAACATGAGCAGCAGCAGGGGTGAGCCGGGGTCCCTTCCTTCGAGGCTTCGGCTTGGTTGCAGAAAGTTTCCGGGGTGCGGGGTGGCACCATGGCACGGGACTGGGGGAGCGCGCGCCGCGGCAGGCACCCACCTCCCCAGGGCCAGGGCAGGGCACAGAGAGGGGTCCCTGCGGGCACGCAGGGGGAAGGCCTGCGCGGGCGCCGGGAGGCCGGAGCAGGGGGCAGGCAGAGCAGCACGGGGCTCCTGCTGCGGGCGAGGCACACACCGCGACCCCGCGTGGCGGGCCAGCGCCCGGGTGCCAGCTCCCCTGGGCTCGCGGCGCCTTGGCTGCTCGACGCCCCTCACCAAAGGCGTGGGGCGCAGACCCTGCCCGGCCAGCCATGTCCGAGGTTCCCCACGTTCTTTTCCGGGGCGCTTTTGACCCGTCCTCCGGGATGCCCAGAGGCTCTCGCGGCCCCTCCACTGCGCACGCTCCCCGGGCCCCTTCGCTCCCGCGGAGCCCCCCGGGCCGGGGGGACCGTCTCTTCTGCGAGGGCAAAGCCATGCAGGGCGGCACACGGTGGTTCTCGGAGGCAGAAACAGCGGCGGGGGCAAGCGCCGCGGCCCTCAAGCCCACTTCCGAACTAGCTTAAACGCGGCCGGGGGCAGCCTCTGACGGGAGCGGGGACTGGGCTGCGGCTGGCGAGCCCCACGTTCTCCCGGCCTGGAGACCCCACCAGCGTAGCCATGGTCCTCCATGGGGGGGTCCTTGCAGAAGGTGGGAAATGGGCGGTCCCCCCGCCCAGGCATTTGTGGCACCGGCCGGGCAGGTGCGCCCTTCCCGCCCGTTGGCGCTGCCTGGGACCGTGGGACCCGCTGCGGCAGGGGCCAGGTGGCCCCGCGAGACCCGCAGCTGTGGGGAAGGCGGGGGCCGGCCGGCCAAGAGCCCAGGAGGGAGGCCGTGAGCCGGCCGCTCAAAACAGGTAGGAGCTCGCGTCGGGGCGGCCGCTCAGGGCCCGCTCCGCCTGGGAAATGGAGTCGTCGGCCCGCTGGCTCAGCTCGCGGCACTCCTGCAGGACCTCGCTGAACTGCTTGCAGGCCTCCTCCACGATGGAGCTCCGCCGGGCCGGGCGGACCTCCCAGTAGCCCTCCTGCACCCACGGCGTGGACAGGCCCGCCAGCTCCGCGGCGCCCGCCCCGCCGGAGCCGTGGGCGCGCCGGAGGGAGCTGTCCAGCTCCTTGCACAGCTGGTAGAGCTCGCTGCCACGCCCGGAGACCCGCTCGCCGTCGATCACCTTGAGCCCGGGGAACATCTCGGCCATGGCCGCGCGGTAGCCCGCCGAGGCGCAGAGGGGGTTGCTCAGCCGCCCGACGGGGTCGCTGAGCCGCAGGCTCTCCAGGTGCCGCAGCCCCGCCAGGCCCCGCAGCTGCTGCGGGCTGCTGACCAGGTTGCCGGCCGCGTTCAGGCTCTGCAGGCGCTCGCAGCCGGCCAGCGGCTCCAGGCTGGCGATGCGGTTGGCGGAGACGTTGAGGACGGCCAGCGCCTTGAGCGAGCCGAGGGGGCCCAGGTGCGAAACGGCGTTTCCCGACAGGTCCAGCCACTCCAGGTTGGCGCACTCCCCCAGGCAGCCCAGGTCGGCCAGGCCCAGGCCTCGCAGCTTCAGCAGCAGGATGGACTCCAGGTCGAACTCGCCCGTCCGGGCCTTCAGCAGCTGGGCCGTGACCTTCGCGCTCTCAGCCTCGTCCCCCTTCTCCGCCCACGGTTCCATCTCGGGCAGGGTGGCCGTGCCGCCAGCGAGGCCTGCCGCGCTCGCCCAGGGCTGCCGCCTGGCGCTTCTCGCCTTGCCCGGGGAGGCGCGGCTTCACCACTGCAGGCCAGGCGGACGCCGGGGGCTGCACACCGCTCGTTCCCCTCGGGAGGAATGGATTACGGAGCCGTGGGTGCCGGTCGCCAGCCCTGCTGGAAGGGAGGAGAAGGGGGCAGGGTCAGAGGAGGCCACGGCTCCCCAGCCCCTCGCCCTCAGGTCAGCTGGCCCCAGAGCTGCAGGCCGGCCGCTTGCTGTGGAGGAAGTGCTGGCGCACAGCGGGGCTGCTCAGTCTGGCAGGGTGACCTGCAGAGGGGGCGGAGGCGTGCACGGAAGCCGTGCTTTGAGAGGCCCCCAGCGTAGAACGGGCGTTCCCTCTCTGGGGGCCTCCGGCGGGGCTTCTACAAATCCCTCCTCATTCTCGGCCCTCGGCCGTGGGGCCTGCCTGATGCCGACTTCTGGAGGCGCCCTACTGGTTCCCCACTTCTCCCCTTTTTCTTGCCGCGGGGAATCGGAGGAGGAGGACGGGGCGGGAGAGCTGCACGGGCCCTCCTGGAGGGCCCCCACAGCCCCCTCTCCGACGGTCCGGGCGACAGAGCGACCTGCTGCGCCACCGGCCGTGGCAGGTCGTCCCGTCAGCTGAACCCGAACAGGATCACCCAGGCGGCCGGGACGGGGCACTCCTCCCGCCCAGGAGCAATCCCAAGCGCCGCCCTGGATCACGCCTCTTCCCCAAATGGGCCAGGGAAGAAACTAGCTTCTCCGCGAGCTTGCAAAGGTCCCTCACAGGGGGCTTGAGTTACAGGAAGGAGAGGGAGCCGTGCGGGTGACCCAGGAACAAGGTGGCGTGGGAGAGGCGGCTCCACCGCCATGCGGGACATGGCTCCATCTTTCCCAGACCCCGAAAAGCTCCGGCCGAAGCAGCAGCCCGGTCTGCAAACCGGGGAGGAGGCGGCGGCCTGGAGCTGGGCCGGTCCAACCACGCAACCTCCCTGGGCCGCCTGGACTCATTCCCCGCCTCAGCGGGGCCTCCACAAATCCGGCAGACGTGGGGTGAGGCGGCCATGGCATGTGTTAATTTTATATTGTTAATTTGTTATGTATTATATTTTAATTTTATGTTGTGAGCCGCCCCGAGGCTTCGGCGAATGGGGCAGCATAGAAATGTTTTACATAAATAAATAAAATAAATGTGTGCGCCACGCTCACCCTGTCCGGCAAACTGAGCACACCTTAGAGAAGTCCCGCAACCACGGCGCCCTTGGGCCCGCTTCTCCGTTTCGCTGGGGGTGTTGGGAGATGCAGCGCATCCGACCGCAAGGGCATTTTATTTATTTATTTAAAACATTTCTACGCCGCCCCCATCGCAACAAAGCCTCGGGGCGGCTCACAACCAAAACAAAAACAAAATCATATACAAATTTATACACTAAAAATATTAAAACCCGGTGCATCTCGGCTTAAATTTTTTTTTTAAATCCTCCATAATAAATTAACACTTAAAATAAGTTTTAAATGAAAAGGTCTTAGCCTGGCACCGAAAATCAAATAACGACGGCGCCAGGCGGACCTCTCCGGGGAGCACGTTCCATAGGTGGGGCGCCACCGCAGAGAAGGCCCTCCTCCGGGTGCTCACCCTCCTAATATCATTCACAGGGGGTTCCCGGAGGAGGGCCTCTCCTGCTGACCTCAAGGGGCAGGAGGGCATATATGGATGTCCATTTTGGGGACGGTTGCCTGAGCTCCCGCGGCCTCGGCCAGATCGTGGCAAGCAGCTGCTCCCGTGCCCTCGCAAGCCATTCCGTGGGCTGAGGGGCAGTTTTGCCCACATGTGGCCACACGGGCACACGGCTGCACTAAACACCCCTCTCAGCCCGCAACCGAACCGGCCTCACCGCCTGCCCAAAGCCCCGCACAGGAGCAGGAATGTGCCCACAAACCCAGCCTCTCGCACTCTCATGCGCAGGCAAGCCGGGTTCCTGTTTCCCCGTGTTTTTATTCTGTGCCCAGGATAGCTGCTTAACCACTACGCTCGCAAACGACTCCGCTTAACAGCAGCTGGGATCGCCGGGGCTTAGCAGGCGGCGCTCCTTCCACCACTGAAGGCAGCTCCGTGGCCCGGCTTGCGTAGGGGGCGCCGAGTGGGGCCGAGCAACCCAGGGCCGAGTGGGGTTACCCGTGCGTAAATGTGCACAGAGGCCTGCGCGCCCGCCCCCCGCGCACCGCCCAGCCCGCCCAGGGGCGCGGCTGCGGGGGGGGGGGCTGCGCTCTCCTCCGCGCGTGCCACCCCGTGGCCATGGCAACACGGGCCGGCGCCGCATCCTGAGGATTCCCCTCCTCTGCGGGGCCGGGCTTGGAGGGGCGGCGAGCCGCGCACTCCCCTCGCCCGGCCCGGCCCGGCCCGGCTCGGCTCGCCCAGCGCTCTCCGCTCGCCCCGCCGCGCCGCGCCTGCCGCTCCCTCCTCCTCCTCCTCCTCCTCCTCCGGCCCGGCAGCCGGCCGCGTCCCACGGCGCCGGGGCGCAGGAGAGGGCCGCCCCGCAGGCCGCCGCCGCCGCCGCCCCTCTCACCCCGCGGCGCCTTCGCCCCGCGCGGCTCCGCCTCCAGCCGAGCCCTCCGAGCGGGCGCCCCGGCCCGGCCA